ACATTGAATTTTAAACTTGCGTGAATACGAATCGCTACATAGGTTTTTAAAAAGACGTAAATACGAATCACAATATCGGATTTTTAAATCTCGTAAATAAATCGCAACACGCAAATATGAAAAGATATGTTTGATATTAAAATCGTGTGAATAAGAATCGAGATATTAGCAGATTCCAGGCTTGGGACCTCTGAAAGGCTTGTCAGAAGCAGCGTCGTTTGAACTACGAAAATCGGATCCATCTGGAGAGCGGGTAAAAAATTCGGAAAATCTTATCTGCTGCGTGTAAAGGGGAGAAAATAGGTAAAATAAGTAAAAATGAGAAAGGATTGGTAGCTATGTAGTTTGAATTTTCTGTTCCTTTTTGAAAATCGGTGAATTTTCTGAAAAAGCAGAATACTAATTTTAAAAAATGAAATTTTTAGAAAATCTGAATTTTTGATAAAAAAGCTGAAATTTAAGAGATAAAAGTGAAAAAAGCGGAAATCCGCTAAAAAACGGAAAAATCTCATCCCTGTTATAATAATGAGACCAAATTATTAGACGCACTGTAGTATTTTAATAATTACACGTTTTGAACGAGTTTATATGCAACACTTTTATATTTAAATGTAATGGGTTTTTTATTCAGGAGATTTTTGTACATACTTCCTATTTGTATTTATTTTTAACGCATTGCATTACAATGTTAACCCATTGATACACGAACGCAAACAAGTACAAACCGCTTTCAGCTGTGTAAAAAACAATAAACAGTAATATAACATCTGATAAAATAAATATTCTATATTTATATAATATATCATCTAATTTGTTCAATCGTCGAGTTTATATTATACAGTAGAGAACCAATTATCCGGGATGCTCGGGGCCATCGCTAGGTCGGATGTCTGAATTTCCCGGTTTTCTGGATCGACCAAAAAGTGTCGTTAATCGATGTTTTATCTAACTCGAATTATAAGCAAAAAGTGTAACACATTTTATAGTAAGAGAAAAAAAGAAAAGTACTCCTAAATTAAAAAATAAAATAAAAATTGTAGAAAAATAACATCTAGAAGAATAAAAAAAAATTGCAAGTTTAGACAAGAAAAACAAGTTTAAAAAATACAAAATTCTCATATTTATTTTTTAAAAATAATTACAATTTCTACATTAACTAATATAAACAAAACCAATGACTAAATAACGCAATATATTTCATACCTAATTATAGAGGGGTTAAAACGATAAAATAAAAGGAAAACTTAATAATCTAAATAAAAACAACGAAAATTATCGAACCGAAACAATAGTTAAAAAAAGCACTAACATAAATGGCAAAACCCGGAACAAGGCAAGATCAATAAGATCAATGGAATTTAAAAAAGGAGAAAAAAAAACCTAATGATAAAATTTAAGAATAAAAAGAATTAATTTATTGAGTGCACAATTTATCGTGAAAAAAAAAATCAAAACATAGTGGAATCAGAAAAACAAAACTGCAATCTACTTCATAAAATAATCATGTTTAAATTAATAAACAATTCTCCTTCTATTTATTTATTTTTTATAAAAACACGATTTTTAACGAAAGCAGATGTGATCCTGCATCAAGAAAAACTTGCAAATGATACCACACTTGCAAAGAATCTGAATTTATTCCAAAGAAAAATATTTTATTTTTATTAATCGTTGTCAAATAGATAAGTACATTTTTCTCTTTCATCTTCTGCTCATTAATATGCCTGTGCAATGCATTTTCCCCACCCCCTCATAAATCAGAGAAAACGAAATCAGTATGCCACTCCTTTGAGTTTGATTGACGGCCTAAAGGAGAAAATAAAACATTCATCCATTCCCTGCCTCCTCTCTATCTGAAGATCTTTAAGGTCATGGAGGAAACATCGTTTCTCTGAGCAAACGGGGGGGGGGGGGAATTCTCCCCTTCCTCACATTTTCCTCTACTCAACTTCTAGGATGAGTCCAATTTCCGCTTTTTTTCATAATCATTCTAGTTTAAAATGGCGGGAAAACCGAGCAAAATTTTCCCGGTTATCTGGATGCCGGATAAATGGTTCACTACTGTATATTGTCTAATTTAACCCATTGATAGACGTACGTAAACAAGTGCAAACAGTCTCGTAAAAAGAATAAAGACGTATAGTATGACCTGATAATTAAGATTATACATAGAATCTCATAGTGCGTCAAATACTTTGGCCAAGGACCGTAAATGTATGGAAAAAAATATGTAAGAAGCAATTTGTTTAGTAACAAGAGAGAATAAAAAAGTGTTCTTCTTACAGGCAGAAATGAGGATGGAGCTCCACTGACTAGGCTGGAAAAAGTAAAGAAGATGGGCGAAATTGATTGCCATCAATGCAAGGCACAGAAAAATGCTGATGATTTCTTGTGTTCTTTTACCTGGACAGAGTAAGAAAATATTAATAACAAGAATAATATGGTTAATGGATATACAGTGAAACCTCTTGGGAGTGACCACTCTCTGTTTAACAGTAATATGGTCGTTAATGAAGGTTGGTCGTTCTTAGGGGTTACCTCCATCGACTTCAAAATGTTATTGAAAGTACATGATTTTCCGCAAATGATTTTAATTTTACTCCGTGTCATTTTTTTGATGTGGAAGAGTCACTTCTGTTAGCTTCACGAAAACCAGATCGATGAATAAAATTCAGCATCAATACAAAATATAATTTTTTTCCTTTATAAAATTTGGTTTAATTTCGCAGACGGTGTGTAGAATTTCGGTGGAAAATTTGGTGTCCCAGAAGTATGTGTAATTTTCAACCAGATGCACTTTACACATCCAGTTTCAATATTTCATTTTAATGCCCCTTCTAAGATTATTAAGCTATTTAATGAGCTATAGCGTATAAGTATAGTCACCAATAGAAAGTTGTATAGTAAGTCATTGACAATTTCTATGAACTTAATGGCTACATTAATATAATTTTCATTTCTCCTTTTGACCTAAATAAACAGCTGACATAACAGTCTAAGTTAATATCTGAAGGATTAAGCTAATGCCTGGGTGAGAGAAAGAATATTTTATCATTCAATAGTAAAATGTTTTTAATGAATGATTATTTAACTTAGTTGCATTAAGTCACAGATAATTTTTAAATGTATTACATATGAGAACACAGATAGATTTAGACATGAGGATAGGATATCATTAATGGGTCAGTAAAGATAACCAACAAATATCTAAACAGAAAAAAACACTACTAATCAAAAATGTATGGCCAAATTTATGAATAATTGCATCGCCGGATTCTACACACAACCAGGAATTTTAACTCCTATCAGTGTAGGAAACTATGAAAGCTATTTATTAACGTATCAGAACTGCCATAATTTTAAGAATTCCTTCTTATAAGCAATAACTAAATACAGTACATTATTCAAAAATTAAATATGATAGCGATTTCAACTCCATATGAGTTCATCATATCACAATAGTTCAAAAATGGGTTCAAAATTTTATGATAGATATCATGCCATGTTTTCAGTTTCATAAAGACCCCTATTCTATGCTAATTGAAAGAAAAAAAGATTAAAACAACTGTTGGTAAAAGGGGAAATTTCTGTCAGAAAAAAACTTTGAATTACCCAGACACAAGTCCAATGATTATGTGAATAGTTAATTTTTAAAATTAAAGCGTAACTAAGATCTAATATTATACCTTGTATAATTCTGTAATATTATTATTAATAATATTATACCTCTGGTATATAAACCAGCAAGTTCCTTAGCGCCAGCATGATTTGGACCCCATCGTGGCTTTGAGAAATCTTCTTGTATAAAATCCTCTTTAATCACATCAGAATTACAATTGGGGTCATCCTCTGGCATAGAATCTTCCAATATTTGCTTTTCAGTTTTTACAGGGGATAATAAACAAGAAGACATTCTCTGTGCGTTAAGTTACTTGAGTGTTACTTATTCATCTATCATCTACAGCTGATTGATTGGTTGATATATATAAAGAGACGCTCCTACTTTACTTTCACTTGAAATATAAGTTTATTTAAGTCATTAGTGATCCTAAGCATGCTCAAGTTTGCTTTCATGCGAGCTATAAGCAAATAGTTGATTATGCATAACTCAAAAACGGATCACTAATGTTTTGATTTTCAATGCCCATGCCGTGCAACTAGACATCAGTGCATGTAACGAACTTAAGTGTCTTTTCGTTTAGTTATTATATAGATTTTTTAATATTATCTATAACAAAAAAGCACTAATTGATTGGATGTTAAGAAAACTATATTGGTAAATATGAAGTTTTTTATTCTGTTTTATTCTCAATATATCATTACAAATTGACGTGAGAAAAAAGTGCAAGACTTAAAAAATAGTTATGATCTGTTTAATTTTAGAAAGTAGCGCTCAAACTTTTAGTAAAAAATAAAATGCGTTTTTTACATCTAGAAATTAGGTAATATATCAAGCAGTATATAAAGTTAAGTAATAAATACAAAAAATGTGATTCTGATCACTTTTTATCAGTAACATTTTATTATAACATGCTAGAGTGAGCCAAAACAATGATGAATAACTTACTTAAAAACCATCATAAAACGCCGCGAAATGGCGATAAAATCCTCACGACTTTTCAAAAAGTGATAATGGTAATTCGAAATTTGGACGTTGTAACAACATTGTATTAAAAATTTGTAAGTTGAAAAACTATGCGAAAAAGCCCGAAAGAAATTAGAGCACCCCACAAAAGTTATCGTCAAATAACGTGAAATTACTATGGAATTTCGAACGCCGTTAATAACAATGTATCACACATATCTCGATTCGAAGAACCATGTAGATAGGCCGGAAAATGATAAATAACTTTCAAATAACCATCAAAAGCAGTGATATTGTGATAAAATCGTCACGATTCAAACATATTAAAAAGTGATATGCAAATTCGGTTTTTGAATGTTGTAATAACATGTTAAAAATATCAAAATCTTAAAAATGATAAATAGTTTCTGAAAAAATTATCATCAAGTGCAGTGATATTACTATAGAATCCTCGATTAAAAAAGAGATAGCTCAAGTTCTAAATGCCATTATCATACATTATTATGTATTAAATGCGTCAAAATTTGAGAAACTACAGGGAAATGGTTGTAAAGCGATTTATTACTGCCGAAAAAACAATCCGGAAACCTCGTGGATTTTCAAAAAATTTGACATGAGTAGACTTTTTTTTCTCTTTCGTATATAAAAGCACGTAATCAGGCTCAAAGGACATGCAGGGCCGAACTCGACCTAGAATGAACCTTGATATATTTACATACATAATTAAAGAAATAAAAATGCCTATTCATGGCACTATTGGTTATATAATCAAATATAATTTCTTGACTTACTGTACACATATTAATATTTAATTAGTCTTTTTGTTATGAGTTACTGTAAAAACTTCCTGCTTGGAATATAGTTTATTTTCCTGATTCTAGAAAAGTTTTTATTTTGACATAGCAGGTGAAAACTACTCCATATTCAGGGTTCTGTCCAAGCCGAATTTACTACCATTTAGCGGTAGCTTCACAAATTCAACTTTAGGAAAAACGGTAGTTTCACAAATTCAATTTTAGGAAAAATGCTAGTTTCACAAATTCAATTTTAGGAAAAATGCTAGTTTCACAAAATACTTTTTCTTAAAATTTTATTTTTGTATCCCTTAAACGATAAATCCATATTTTTGTGTTGATTTTTTAATATAATTTTAAATTTTTCACAAATTATATCTAAATTTTCACACAGTAGGTACTTCTCAGAAAGACCTGGACAGACCCCTGATATTGTATTAAGCTATAAATAGTTTCATATTCTTTATGATTTTATTATTCTTTATTGTATTACATTATCTTTATCTATTATATTTTACTTTATCTATTATATTATCTTTAAAATTTATTATAGTAGGAGTCTAAAAAGTGATAATAATCTATTTTCTTAAATTTTTATCTTAATTTTAAAATTGTAATAATTAAAAAATTAGCTAAGTGAAGGGAAAAAATGATGTATTTGACTTAACAAAAGTTTATAGAACATAGATTTTTATTTATATTAAAATATAACTAAAAATCTGTTCTTATAAATTTTTATTTATGTGTATATTTTGTAAAATACTTAACAAAAGAAAATTTACTTACCACCTGATAATTGAAAAAAAAAAAATTATTATCAAGAGTATTAAAAAAAATGTCGTCTCTGAGTAAGAAACATATATTCTCTGTTTCTATGTCCTACGTTTATTCATAAAAATATACTTAAAAAATTAGACATTAATAAAAATCTCATATGCTTATTATGGCAGGTATTTTTAAGCATGAACCAGTGACAGCAATTTTTTAAAAAAAGAATGGCAGTAGAATGATTACACTGACTCAACTGTTACATATTTATATGATTTGTTTACCACATAATTATTTTTTAGGTGATGTCTAATTACAAAGTGGGTGATCTTGCTTCGTTAATGTCTCCGAAGAAGACAACGACTGAAAGCAAACTACAGTCTTTGTTCAATGAGCATTGGAACAAGAGGCAGATTCCAATTGCATTGAAAAATGTATGAATTATTTTATTTTTTTTCTCCTCATACATTTTCTCTTTATAGAGTCATCTAAAAACAAGGAAGTTGGGGAATTTTAACCCTTTAAAGGAAATGTTAGAAAATTTAACAGAAATGCCTAAAAAGTTGTGGGAAAGGAATAAATTTATGTTTATTTCAGGTATCTGGTAAACCTATATTTTATCCAAAAAATTTTGTCTAAAGGAGGAACCCTGGTTTTACATTGTCTGTTTCGTATGTTATTTTGCTTCATACATCATTTTCTGATGGTTCGTGAGAATTGCCTGTGTCAATAATATTATATTATCCCAGATCGTTATCCTTTTTTACAAAATTTTGCTTTATACAAACGTTTTTCTATCAAGCCATAGTAATTTTTTCTCTACAAATCTCGCACAGACTTTGCCAGTTTTTCCTTTTTATATAGCTGCCAACTCTACTGGATAAGGCCAGTTTCTGCTGGTCTACTGGTTTAATTAAAATTTTCCTAGTTTTTGTACATTTTAGAAAATTCCCTACAATTGAGTAAATTTCCTAAGAATGTCCTTATTGAAACGGAATTTTTGTTAAGATTATTGATTGCTTGCTTGAATATTTAAATAAGTATTAATAATACATAATGATGTGAACCTCATTTATAAGAAGTAGTTCAAAACTTTTTTCTTTTTGTTCAAAAATGTCCCGTTTATTATTATTTAGAACTCTCTTTTTAAATTAATTAAAATAAATCATTTAAATATCTGTAATGAACTAAATGCCTATTAAAATTCAAAAATTATGAGTAAACATACTACATAACATTTCAAGTATGTTTAATGTCGATCATAACTGGAAAATATTGCGGTTTTTCTAATTAGGTGACTAAAAAATAATCCCTTAAATTCCCTATGTGTAAAATATTTCTTACATACATTATGTAACAATCATTGTGAAATTTATATTTCTTAAAATCTACTGGATTTTTTTCCTATCCTTGTTGGCAGCTATGCTTTTTAAAAAAGGAGAAAATTGTTAATTTGCTTTTTGAAGCTGTTCTGACTTTCTAGCTAGCTGTCTGTGAGAGGAGATTTCTTCCTTGAGTCGAAATCAAAATGGTGGTGCGATGGGTAAAGAGTGGTTAAAGAAAGTATGGGAATTTTAAACTTTATTAATATGTGCATTTCATTTCATAAATGTATACAATGCTTCTAGAAATTTCAATCTTGACTTATAATTTTAAACCAGGGTTGGGGTTTTGGACAGGACACGTGGGTTTTACTGTCTTAAACTGGGTGAAACTGTCCTAAAGTGTCCAAAACCTTGAACTTTGGTAAAAGGTAAAAATTCTATAGGTGTAACCATTGTACTCATAATTACATGTATCAATAAATATTTGATATTTTTTATACAATTTACTATAACTTATTATAAAAAAATAATATAATATAATAGGAAAAGGTTTATAATTTTTGAAGCTCCACAATTCATTGAACAACAAAAGTGAATACCTAATCCTTTAAATATAAATATGCTTTTAATACTGATAAATAATATTTTTGCATAAGGATAAATATAGTAATATTAAAAAATAATAATTTTTCTTAAAAAAAAAATACTAAATTTGTTCAAAAACTAACCTTTTATTTTTCACAATATTTTTTTTAAAAAAATGTTACAATTTCTGCATCATAGGATGATAAAAAAGACATCTATTTTTAAAAAAAAATTGTTTTTAAATATAAATATATTACTTTAAATTGAAAATACAAAATAACTGAAAATTGTATTAACAGTTTTGAAGGGCATAACATCAGTTTCAGTTACTGACACTGGTGATGTATCACCACTATGCTAAAAGAATTGAACATGAATGAAATAAAAGTATTCTTGAATAGTACTATAGATAAATAAACCTGTTTATGACGAACCAAGCACTTAGTTCCTAATATTTTAACCTGTATGGCAAGGCCAAACTTCAGTTGTGTACTATTGAATGAGAGGACCAATTGAACTTGATTACTGATTAATCTTCCTTTGAAGAATCATTCAATATTAATAAAACATTATACTTTTAAAAACAAATATTCTGTAGTATATTTAATTATCAATATGTTATTAGTTCTTTGTTTATTTTACCTCTTAAATATTGTTCAGATAAAATTGTGACATAATTTGAGTAAAAGGACAGGACGGTTTAAACCGTGGATTAATCCATTCTGTCCTAAACCTTGCCAACCCTGTTTTAAACTAATTACATAACTTATTATGCTTTACATTTCACAAGGAATCATTTTAGTTACTTCATCATTATGATTTTCCTTACACGTTTAGATGGCAAAAATATGACTGAAATAGTTATTATCATTTCTTTTATTAATCTCTTAGGTAATAATCATCAATATTTTTTTAGTTAATATCATATCTTATTATTATATTAAGTATATATTTAAAAAATTCATTTGAAATGAAAGTAACTCAGAATATATTTAAAAAAAAAAAAAGAAACACTCATCTCTGGATGAAATTGGGTCATTTTATGATAAGACCCTATTATCCCCAGGGTTAATCTGGTTTTTCATAAAAAGACCCACATGGGCTTTTTTTTTTTTTTTTTTTTTTTTTTTTTTTTTTTTTTTNGTTTTTTTTTTTTTTTTTTTTTTCTTTTTTTTTTTTAAATAAAAAAAACGAGTTGTTGCAAACCCTGGTAAAAAATGAAGAAGTGAGTGTCATTTCAAAATGGGTAACAGTCAAATGCAACATATAAAATGGAAAGAGTTTTGTTTTTCAAAAATATTTTAAATTAAGAACACCAACGAATAATTTTGAAAAGTATGTGTTTCAATTTGTTGCCCAAAATTGGGATGTCTATTCTTCTTCTTTAAAGGGTCTAAACAATTTTTTTTTTTTTTTTGCCTTTTCATGAAACTATTCTTATAAACTTCTATGAACATCTTTTTTAAATTGCTTAAATTTAATTTTTTATTGTTGTCTAAATATCAATATAAGTTTTAAAATAAGTACTTTCTTTTAGGCTAAGAACACTAAAAATCAACAGAAGAGCTCAAAATGTGATATTGAAAGGTATTCTCTACTCTTTTTTACATTTAAAAAAGAATTTTTTTTCCTTCAAAAAAATCTGTCTGTTATGGGGTTAAGAAACTTTTTTTTTCGATTAATTTTTTTTTCTTACTTATTACTCTTATTATTTTATCACTGTTTTTCAACTTAGTTTAAATTTTAGTGCAATTTCAATTGCTGCAATCCATTCCAAGTCCACATCAAATTATTGAAATTCTACTGTGTATATATAGACACACACACACATATCTGCTTTAAAGACATGCATAAAAATATTCAGGAAAAAAATTTTGATTAGTAATTGATTCACAAAATATTCAATAAAGAATTAATGAAAGTTTCTTTGAAAATGTAACACAATATTATTCTTTTACTTCTTCCTACATACATCTGCTGGCATGTTTTTTTTGTATGTGTGTTAGAGAATTATAGGCTGTATATAATTTTTGTTGTATTTGACGTACTGTCATTTCTAAACAGAATCATTCATATTGTTGATATTTAATTTAATGTTGTTTTAATTGAATATACATGATGATAGAGTGAAAGAGGAAGTGCAGAATATCCTGTCATGTTTTTACCATGCGCCTATGTTTTTAACAGCAACTTTAATTTCGATATGATCGCAAATGCAGCTATAATGGTATTTAATTTTTTTTAATGTATTTCAGTAACACTGTTAAGAAGAATAAGAGGAAAAAAGCATCTGATAGTTTGTCATCTGAAGGTCCCCTACAGGAGGAAATGAAGACTGATTTTAACTCTGACTTCTTACCTCTTCCAAGTAAAAAGAAACAGAAGAAAGAAAAGAAACGTAAGCTTAATTTTTCAGAAGATTTGGTTGTAGAAAAAAGCGAGCAGGATGCTGACCATTCCGAAAACGTTAAGTCCTTCATACGATGTGCTAAAAACAAAAGACAAAAACCTGCTGGGAATAGTGTCGATACGAGTAGTGTCAAACCAGTTAGGGAGAACCTTTTCAATGAGTTTCCTGAAAGTGAGGATACTTCTAATAATCAAATAAAAAAACAGAAATCCAAAAAGAAAAAAAAGATACCCAATCAAAGTGAACCATTATCGATGGATTCTGAAGAAGAAGAAACTAGTCAGGCTGTTGTAAATAAAGTGGATGTAGAAAAAATCAGGCAAGAAAGCATTCAGGATTTGCCATGTACACTATTTGTTGGGAATTTGCCAGTATCTGTTAATAGAAAAGTAAGCTTTTATATTAGGATCTATTTTAATTTCATTATTACCTTTATCTTCAGGTTCAAGAGCAGATTACCAAAGAGTTTTTTTTCCTCTTTCTGTTACATGATTAAAGACTTAATTGTCTAGCTTAACTTTTTTTCCTCTTAATATCTTGTGTGTAATATGTGCAGGGAATTTTTTTTTTCCAGATTTGAGTGGCAACCCTGTAAAATATTAATGGGGACTTTACAAGAGTTCTAATTATTGAGGGTGTTTGTACCACTGCCCCCCTCCCTTCGAACACCACCCATAAAAAGTTATTAAATTTTAAGAAAAATATTTATTAACAACTGTGTAAGGGAAATTGTGCCGCGTATTTATATGTAAGTTGATTGAAAAAGTTTTATTTTCATGAGAATATCACGAGACTTAATTTCATTGCCTCTGCAATGTTTTATATAAAAAATTTTCATAATTGTACATTGTTAAAATTATCACAACTTGAATTACTGAAAGAGTTTTATGGAAGTTAGGAAAAAGAAATGTTCACAGACTTTAAAGTTTTGAGTTGATACAATTTAATATTGTGTAGTTACTGCCTAACATAATATGAAGCGTCTTTTGAAACTACGCAAATATATATACAATTATCATTCTATGTTGAAAATGACTTGGCTATGGACATTTTTGCCTATTAAAAATTTTTTTGTCATGATGACATATCTACAAACAATGTTTTCAGAAAAATGTATTGAAATCGGCCGGCCATAAAACTGCATGATATAGGCGCGCTACGGAATTTGAAACTTTCAATCAGTCATAACTTCCTTAAGAAGCATCTAGAAACAAGACATTTTTTTATAGTCTTGTCAATAAAACTTTTTTTAAAGGTATAGATAATGATTTAAGAATGAACATTGTTATATTATAATTAGAAAAAGTATTATATTTTATAAAGGCAAACAACCAATTGCTTCTAAATATAGTCTAAACTTTTAAATGGATTATTTAAATAATCCAAAACTGTTGTAACATTATGTTTATAATGAATGGAAAAAAAAAGCGTCAAAATTATTTGTTTAACATTCATTGAAAAAAAAATGAAGTGAAAAAAATCATCAAAGTTTTTTATTAAAATTATTTTGTTTAGAACAGCAAGCAAAGTGTTGTCTTCACTATAAATGTTTTTTGTCCTTTACACAATAAATTTCTGAATTAATAATTGCTTTAATAATTAATGTTTGCAGAGTTATATGTGTTTTGGTTTTTTCAATGTAAAGTAAAAATATATGTATTAAGTTTAATGTGCTCTGTGTATAAAAAATAATTTTCTTCTGCGAGTTGCCTAAATTCTCCAGAAAGTTCTAATGCTGCCTAGGAATTTTCAATGTGCCCTGGGGATGGTAGGTAGGTTCTAGTGCGACCCAACCTGAATTTTTTTGAAAAGTTTTAATTTCATATAAATAGTATTTTTAATGGGAGATTAAAAAATAATATTCAATAAAAAATTTGTAAAAAAACAGAATAGATTAATCCACAGTTTAAACCCAGTTAATATTTGATTTAAAAGGTTAATTTTAGAGCTAGAAACAGACAAGTTTTTGTTTTATTAAGAACTAATTATAAATAAAACTAGTTATGCAAAATTTGAAAATTCTTAAAACCTGCATGGAAGTTCTCCTAAAAATAATTTTAATGAAAGTTTTTAAATATTTATTTGTATTTCTTGCAATTTAATAGTTATATTACATAGTTCTATCCTTAGTTCTTTCTAACGGCACCACAGTTAAAGGAATTGCCTTATAAAGAAAGTTTTGAACTTTAAAATCTTATGAGCCACCTTTTATAGATTAGTTACACTATTTTCGTAAATTCAGTCAAATTTTAAAATGACTTCTTATCATAATTTTGGTTTTAAAAAAAAATTAATCCGTTAGGAGCATATACTTTTCCACAAAAAAAAATTTCCTCCAAATCTGTGTTTTATTACTCTATGATTTATAATTGCTCAATTAAAACTTGGGAAATGCTTGTAAGCAACCCCAGCTAGTTATGAAAACAACTGGTATTGTTATGTGGATTTAAAATATCATGTTATTGTTGCACTCTTGTTAAATATAACATTAAACCATTTTAATAATTTTAGATGCTGCATAAATTGTTTACTTCATTTGGTCAAATAAAAAGTGTTCGCATGCGAGGTGCTGTAAGTATACATTATTCTATGTTTATCTCATGAATTATTTCTCCATTCTATATTGCTCTAAAAAAGATTCTTTCTTTTTTTCTTTTATTTTTTTTATTGTTCATTCAAGCACTTGCAATATAATGTTAATAGTTGTCTGCATTTAGTATTATACATTTATAGCATGTAAAATTTTGACCTTTTATATTTAAAACTAATATGATTTTCTGAGCTTTCTTGTGAAAATTTTGTAATTCAAATCTGGTATATGTTTAGTTATAGTTAAATTCTTTGACAAACCTAGAGATGAAGATTTCATTATGTTTTAACTTCCTAAGCAATTTTAGAAGGTAAAAATATTGAATGAACTTACCCATATCATATGGAGTACTATTTGTACATTTGTGGTAGTGAAGTCCTTTCTATGTTAACAAGAAATCAAAAACATGTTTTTTTAGCCTGAGAAACTTTCCAACAATATAAATTTCAAATTGACTTTACATTACAATTCTGCTAATATGGTGGCTGTAAATATTTGCTATTTGTAATTCAATGCTTCTAAGTATAAAGTTTATATACTATTTTATTTATTGAGTTACTCTTTGTTTTAAACGTTTTTCTGAAATATTTTTTTTTATGTTACTTTAAGGTTTCAACTAAAATGGGTATACCGAAAAAAGTTGCTGAAATTAAGTAAGTTTTTTTTTTTTAAATAATATATGAGAGCTTTAAGGCAATATAGTGATAGAATTATGTGTTCCAGTGATTTTTTTTCCCCTTCAGAGTACTTAAATCCTTGATTTGAATCAATTTACAAACAATTATTGCATGTTGTTTTCAGGGATGAGAATCTTCTGCTGATTTCCATTGTGATTTTTCAAACTTTCCCATTTTAAATTATATATTTTCTTTTAAAAAGTTTGGTTATCACCAATGTAGTATTTTTCCTTGCCCAGCGTAAATTTTTTTACCGCCAAACACTCATGTAGTTGGTTTCAATAGGCTCAAATTTCCTGCATCTTAAGAAATTTGAGGAATTTAGATCATATCAGATGAGGAATAAGATCATATCAAAAAAAAAATCAAGATTTTACTTTAGTACCTTTAGATTTTAACTTGAGTCAATATTCTTAAAGTTTCAAAATAAGTTTTAGGAAAAGCAATTTAAAAAAACTTGTTATAGTGAAATAATGCATTAAATCCTAATTTCAAAACTAGCTATGCAAACAACATAAGATTATTATTAAGAACATGACATTAATTATGAAAAGATATCTAATTTTTTAGGACAAAATTTAAAAACTATGGGGGGGGAAACTAGTGATGTAACGAATAGTGATGGGGTCGAATACTGAATATTCGGTGGCCGAATACTTACTTTTTAAAAATTTCTGTTTTGTTTGTAATTTTGTAATTAAAGTAATTTTCAAATTTTAAATTGAAAATGAAATAAATATTAACAAAATTGCTTTTTTAATCTTTGTATATTTAAAAAAATTTTAACAACTTGATTTATTTTTTGTAATAATTTAAATATCTTGATGCCAATAACAAGGCAATATGGCTTTTATAAATCTAAATAATTAATAATAGCATATTTTAGTTATAGTTATACTTGTAATTTATATGCTATTTTATTTAAAATAAGAACTCATTACTACTGTTAAATGTATTCTTAACTTTCTTTTTTGTCAGAAAAATTATTAAAACTCAGAAAATTAAGAACTTTTTAAAAAGTTTCACTTTTGAAATTTTAATTTTGTAATTAAATAATTTTCAAATTTTAAATTAAAAATGAAATAAATATTAACAAATTTGCTTTTTTAAACTTTCTATATTTCAGATAGTATTCACACTTCTATTTAACAAACTATATATACTTGTATTTTAATGTAAAAGATTCCAATGCTTGTTAAATACATATAATGATAAATTTGCAACAAGGAAACGTTTTTATTTATGTAACATTATTAAATACACTTTTGTTTTATACAACTTAAATTGAGTAAATGTTAGATTTTCTAATAATTAATGCAGTGAAATGTAACTCCGCAATATTCATGATTAAATATATTTAAAAGCACATTTAAAAAAATATCTTTCTTTATTATTATGAATTTATTCAGCTAAATATCTAATAATATTCATATTCAGCCGAATGACTTCAGTATTCGGCTAGGCCGAATATTCGGCAAAAGGGTCGAATACCGAATAGTTGCCGAATATTTGTTACATCCCTAGGGGAAACACAAAAAATATTAAATGATCGATTAAAATTTTTTACAAATTATTAAATGTACCTTAACATGAAACAAATAACTAATCTAAATGTAGCAAAATCTAATTAACTAGAACCAACATAAAGATATTACTAAGTAGATAGAAAATTAAATACTCATAATACAATGAGATTTCACACAACTAGTATGCCACCCTCTTAAATTGAACTGAAAATCTCTCGATCTTTTTATCATGGCTAATATAAGTAAGAGACACCTGGTGTCACAGGTCTCTCGTGTCACGGTTCCTGGATTCGATGCTTGACCCAGGCAAGGTTGACTCACCCTTTCATCCCTTCAGTGGGTCGATAAATGAGTACCAAGTATGCATGGGAACACTGGGGGTTTCCGCGTTCAGCTGATCACCTAACTGGAACATCTGCTCCTGCACCCCAGAACTCAAGGTCCAGAAAACTGAGATGTACACAGTAGGCCTTGGCCCTCGATGGACTGTTGCGCCACTGAGTTTTGTTTAGTATAAGATCATAAAATTTGTAATGCATACTAACGTTCAAATATGAATACCTTCATGTTGTTCACTGTATTACTTTTAAATATTAAGTTAATATAAATTTAAATAATCCATACACATCACAGAACTATTATGTCTGAAGGAACAGAAAAAACACTGTATTCTAAATAAGTGAAATACATAATAAATTACTTATGTTTTCAAACTCTTAGAATCGGCGCCCTTTTTCGAAAAATAACTTCTGTTATTCTGTTATTCTGGAATTCTGCCTAAATAGCTAATTTTTGCTAAATTATTGAAAAATACATGATTGAGTTTATATCATTTGTATTTATTTTATGAATGTGCTGTTTTCTCTTCCATACAAATGATTTATTATATTATTATGAATCCAGGAGTGAATATCACAAAGGTCTGCAGAGCCATACTGGATTTGTTGTTTTTAAGGATAAGGAATCAGCTAAGAATGCTTTATCTTTGTGAGTTTATATACATTTTAATTTACAAAAATGTTTTGTTTTTTTTTATGTTTCCTTGCTTTATTATTTTTGTATTTGCCTATTCGTGAGTGAATATGACTACTTTTTAAAACAAATCCATTTTTTGAAAAAATAATTGATTGGGAAATTCTGTGCTTCTATAGCTGCCTTAGGTAACTCTTGAGTGAATAGTGTTCCATGTCTGCGTAACTTAAACGAATAATATGGGGGAATATCCACTTTTTTTCCTATCACCTTTATAGTTTATAAAAGCTGTATTAGATAAAAAAAGGAAGAAATTATACGAAAGATGATTGAAATACAATGCTTTTTAATATTTTTATTGCTTTTGAAGTTTTATAAAACCTTAAATTATTCTTTTTATGCATCTTTTAATATAACCAGAGATAATTGTGCTTCTGAAAAAATCCGAATTTTTGGATTTTTCATTAACCGTGATCCGGAAATCCAAAGTACAGAATTTTAAAGAAATAATCGATCACATTTATGCATAAAAAAATCTTGTATATTTTATTTGAGAATATTAGCACTAAAATTTATGCTTGGCATCTCTTTCATTTGAAAATATTTTTTCTGGTAGAATAATAAATGTGATAAGAGATAAAAGTAAACTTATACATAATTGTTAATTTAAATTATGCTGCATATAATTTATTTAGAATTTCATGTTCATTAAAGAAATTTTCAGGATTTTTGAGTTGGGCTCACAATCACCCCTGACAAAACTAATTATTATCATTAAGTTCAATATTTTAATTGTTCTAATTATTAACATTTGTGCCTAGATAGCCACAAGGAAGTTCAAATTTGTAGGAAATTAAAGTTTACTGATCTGATGTCTTGCATTTTCTTTTTGTATTTATAAATCTATACTAACGTGTGTTTTTGGTTTAGAGAATAATAATAAAATCATCATTGTAGGCAAGAATTTTAATTAACATGGGGGAAAAGGTTTCCTCTGCTGTTAATACCAGATAAACCATTCTAAGACTAAATTGAAAAAAGACATAATAAAAATTTCAATTTACACTCAAAATTTTATTAACTTTCAAAAGTTTAAGAATTAAAAACTGGGTGTTACAGGTGTAACATAATATTCATAATCATTCTTAACAGCTAGATTTTTATATTCACCAAAAAAAAATAATAATGACTAAAACTGTTTAAAAATTGGTTAAGTGTAATTGGCACCAAGACATATTTTATCAAAAATTATAGGAAGTACTCAAATTTTTTTTCCAATTGTCTTTTAAAGTCTAAAAATATGACATTCTTAAATGATAGAAATACCCTTTATTAATTCAATCTAGTTTAGTTCACAAAAACCTTAGCTATTGGTGTGTTAGTAAGTTGTCTAAATTATTACTCAATATTAGCATGTCTACATTAGTCCTTATTTATTGGCTATTAAGCAAGACATAAATCAAATAAAACATATAATAACAATATTCATCAATAACATAATATTTCCTAGTGATTAAAAGAAAGCAATCTGAAAAAGCAGGTTAAGAAATACTTGTCCATCATAAAGACCTTGTTGTGTGATCAATATTCAAGTATGTTGCCGCTGCATATGAAGGAGTAAAATAACCTGCCATAATTTTTTTAAAGATTTTTAACTGTCCTCACATTTGTTGCAAAATAAGCACTAGCTGCATTTTATTCAAATAAGTCTTGTTTTGAGTGTCTTAATTGTTCACTTATTGTATTGTTCTTAATTGTATTTCCTTTTAACTTTAAAAGTTATGTTTTTAGAAATGGAACATTAATTGATGATCATCACATTCTTGTTGATTTTGCGAATCAACCTGGCGAAAAGAAGTTATACAATAATGAATTGTCCGTTTTTCTTGGTAATTTACCATTTGGTAAGTAAAATAAATTTATTTATGTTTCATTTAGTAAATCTGGTCATTATGAATATTTATTTTCTCTTTTGTTATATTTCTAAAATTATTAAGAAAATAGTTGTTTTGTGGAATTTTCGATGTTGATCTCTTAAGGATTTCCTGCCGTTTCATGTTTAAATACTTAATGATATTGAAGGGTTGCCACTCCACAGGGATGACAGGGAAAACCTGGAAAATACAGGGAATTTGAAAATTACCCAAAATAACAGGGAAAATGCAGGGAATTTTGATTTTTTTTCTGTGCAAACTGGGAAAATACAGGGAATTTTGTTTTTTTATTTTGGTCTTTTCAAAAATGGTGACCACTCAAAGCGTAATCTATGGGATATTTAACCATGATATTTCAGCTATACTTAACTATTTCATTTACAATAGCATTATATATAGCTCACACAAGAGCACAGTAATTGTTGTTTCCTCTTAATATAAAGGTTGGCAAGTTTCTGCCGAGGTGGTTAAAGCCACTGGTAGAAACTGGTTAAAACTGGCATGGCAGAAATTCAGAAAATGACATAAAAGTAAGTACTGAGATTGACATACAATGGATAATTCATAGAAAAAAAACAATTAAATGTTAAACAAAGTACAATTTATTTACAAAATTATCACCATTCAAAATCAAGTATTACATTGTTTGCACTCTGCAGTAATCTATAACAAAAGGCAAGTTTTAATGCAGTTTCTAAACCTAAACAATTTCTCAATTTGCTNAAAAGAAAGCAGAAAAAAGCAGGTTAAGAAATACTTGTTCATCATAAAGACCTTGTTGTATGATCAATATTCAAGTATGTTGTCGCTGCATATGAAGGAGTAAAATAACCTGCCATAATTTTTGTAAAGATTTTTAACTGTCCTCACATTTGTTGCAAAATAAGCACTAGCTGCATTTTATTCAAATAAGTCTTGTTTTGAGTGTCTTAATTGTTCACTTATTGTATTGTTCTTAATTGTATTTCCTTTTAACTTTAAAAGTTATGTTTTTAGAAATGGAACATTAATTGATGATCATCACATTCTTGTTGATTTTGCGAATCAACCTGGCGAAAAGAAGTTATACAATAATGATTTGTCCGTTTTTCTTGGTAATTTACCATTTGGTAAGTAAAATAAATTTATTTATGTTTCATTTAGTAAATCTGGTCATTATGAATATTTATTTTCTCTTTTGTTATATTTCTAAAATTATTAAGAAAATAGTTGTAATTTTGTTTTTTTATTTTGGTTTTTTCAAAAATGGTAACCACTCAAAGCATAATCTATGGGATATTTAACCATGATATTTCAGCTATACTTAACTATTTCATTTACAATAGCATTATTTAAGTATGTTCAACTGTTTTTCCAGCAATTGAAGCTATTTAAGCTATTGTTAACCCAATATAGCTCACACAAAAGCACAGTAATTGTTGTTTCCTCTTAATATCAAGGTTGGCAAGTTTCTAGCAAGTTGGTTAAAGCCACTGGTAGAAACTGGTTAAAACTGGCATGGCAGAAATTCAGAAAATGACATAAAAGTAAGTACTGATATTGGCATACAATGGATAATTCATAGAAAAAAACAATTAAATGTTAAACAAAGTACAATTTATTTACAAAATTATCACCATTCAAAATCAAATATTACATTGTTTGCACTCTGCAGTAATCTATAACAAAAGACAAGTTCTAATGCAGTTTCTAAACCTAAACAATTTCTCAATTTGCTATGCACGAATGAGAAATTTGAGAAGACTCTCTCAAGTTCAGCAGAACTAGCAGGCATTGTATAAATAATCCATCCCAATAAAAATAATCCATCCACAAAAGATTAAAACTGTTACTGTTATAATAATTGGATTGTTGCCATGCAAATTATGTCTTGAAAAGAAAAAAAAACTATTTGAAAATAGTTCTATTCAGTTATGTTAAGAGTTAAATGATAATAATTACTGAATTTCAGAGTTTAATATAATAAACTAAAATCTAGTATTTATATTTATTATTACATTATATTTTTCTTCATTTTATATAAATATTTGATATACTGCACTCTTTATATTTAATATAAACAAAATAATATATATTTACAAACGATGAATTAAAAAGTTTGTTACAGTTACATGGAGTAAAATTTTTCAGTTTACTTAAACAAAATGTCATTAAGCAATTACCAGAATTAATATAGAAGTTTTTTTAGCTTCTGCCAGTTTTTACCGGTTATAACCAGTTTCTGCCACTGGCATGGCAAAAACCAGTTTCTTCCGGCAAAAAGCCAACCTTGCTTAATATATTACGTATAACATGTACAGGGAATTTTTTCTCTAGATTTGAGTGGCAACCCTGTATTGTGAATAATAATATTTTTAAGAAGATAAAATTAATTGCAATTATTGTGTATAAGATTTTTTCCACTGGAGATGATGTTTCTAAAATGAAAAATATTTTTTTAATTTTCATTTGGTTTAATGACAAATACTTCTTGAAAAATATTTTTTACACTAATGTGTAGAGAAATTATTTTTGATTTACTTTTTTTAGTATTGTGTTTCGCTCTATATACATATATGTATAAAATAGCACATTGGATCGTAATTTAAACGAAATGAAAATTTGTAGAAAATGCCTAGTATTAAATTTTTGTTGCTGTTTCCCGAGACTTAGTTTTTATTTTCTGCCCTTATGTATGTAGTGTGTATATAGATATAATTGTTAATAAACAAATAAAAAAATTCATTATTAAAATTATTTAAAAATGTCACGATTAATAGATCTCCCGAATAAGTGCCTTTTAAATCTTAAGTCTGTTTTTTTCTTTTCTTTTTTTTTAATTTTAAGAAAAAAGATTAAAAGACCTTATTCCATGTGTCAAATAAGGCTTGAACAAACAGTTTTAGATAAGTTTATCTATTAGTTAGAGGAAAAAAATATGACAATGTGTTAATTTTCATTGATAGATGTGGCTGATGAAACAGTCAGGTCAGCTTTTGAAGAATGTGGCGAAATTCAAGCTGTAAGAATTGTTCGAGATAAAAACACTGGTGTTGGCAAAGGGTTTGGCTACATCCAATTCCAGGTATTGAATTACATTTATTGTAGTACTTGCATTTTAAAATGAAGTAACTCATGCTTTATGTTAAAATATTTTTGTACTATGGTTAAAATTATTTGCTGTATTATAGTTCAGTAAAATTGAACTTTTTCTCAGAAAAAATTAGCTCCTAAGATTTTTTTATCGTAGAAAGCAGGGAAAATGCAGGTAATTTTGATTTTTTTTTTCCTTTACAAACTGTGAAAATGCAGGGAATTTTGTTTCTTATTTTTGTCTTTTAAAAAATGGTGACCACTCAAAGCGCAATCTGTGGGATATTTAACCATGATATTTCAGCTATACTTAACTATTTCAGTTACAACATACATATTCAGTATGTTCAGCTGTTTTTCTAGCATTAAAGTATATTCAGCTGTTTTTCCAGCAATTAAAACTAATAAATATAGTTAGCCTAATATAGCTCACATAAGAGCACAATAATTGCTGTTTCCTCTTAATATATTGTGTATAATATGTATAGGGAAAACACAGGGAATTTTTTTTCTCAGATTTGAGTGGCAACCCTGTTTGAGGGCAAAAACTGATTTTTTTTAGGCATGGTTTCTTTAGATTGGAAAGCTTTCCAAGCCTTCCATTCTGATCTGTTGCCTCTTGTACACAAGTAAAATATTTTCATAAATTTTCTGATTAATATTAGCACTCTCTGTTGGTGGGGCAGAAATTTGTAACAAATATAAAATCATTTTTCATCTGTGTCAACAAGAAACCTGGTAAAACTATTGACTTATGTGGCTCTCACCTATAATTCGAGATTGTGAATTTACCTTGTCATTGCATCAAGCCTACCAATTTTTTTTTAATCTATGAATTTAACCACAGCAGAAAATCAGTAAAAATTAGCTTTTGAGTCATTGTTACCAAATTATTTTTTCATGGAGAATTGAATGAGACCGATCCTGAGCCAATCTAATAGTTNAACGCTGCGATTCTTATTCAGGCGATTTAAATATTGCACAGTGCGATTCTTACTTACGAGATTTAAAAAATCAATATCGCGATTTGTATTTACGAGCTTTTAAAGCCCTATGTAGCAATTCGCATTCACGTGAGCTTAAAATCCAATATCATGATTCGTTTTTGTGGTTGTAATATCGCGCGATTTAAAAATTATTCATCGTGATCAAAAAATTAAAAAATCATGATTTGTATTTTCGCATTTTTTAAATTCGATGTAGAGTTTCATATTTACGTGATTTAAAAGTCTCATATCGGGATTTATATTCACATGGTTACAAGTTTAAAAATCGCACTTTTTTGTCAAATTTTTGTTTATATATATATATACATAGATATATATTTTTTTTCCCTTTTTTCCCCTTTTTTTTCTTTCTTTTTTTTGTTTTTGGGATTTCCTCTTTTAAACTTTCTGACTACTCTCATCCCTGAATCTATGAATTTAACCACAGCAGAAAATCAGTAAAAATTAGCTTTTGAGTCATTGTTACCAAATTATTTTTTCATGGAGAATTGAATGAGACCAATCCTGAGCCAATCTAATAGTTTAGAAGTTATAAGGGTTTCATGTACAAAAAGTACAGTTTTGTAATGGGACACATTTACCCATCTGATATTGTTAACTAAACAAGTGAGGTATTGTTACTTGTGTCATATCAAATCACCATTTTCCTCCAAAAAAAAAGTGGAAGGAGTGTAGGGATGAGTAGGTGTTTTGTTTATAATGATATAACGAAAGCTTCCTGTGAAAAATTACTTTAGATTTATTTAAAGAAACGCCCTTTTCTTTTACTATAAGCGAACTGTGCGCTCATTTTGTTATAATCCGTTGCCTTTCACACGTGTAAAACATTAATTTCATGATTAATATTAGCGCTCTCTATTGAAGAAATTTGTAACAATATAAAATCAGTTTTCATCTGTGCCAAAGAAAAACCAGGTACAACTATTGACTTTTTAAAATTCATTTGGCTCTCACCTACAATTCAAGATTGCGGATTTTGCATCAAATTTATGAAGAAAATTTTTTTTAAATATACAGTATTACAGTCATTATTTAGTCCGTTTATTCTGTATTGTTTTAACTAAAGCGGAAAAGTAGTAAAAACTAGCTTTACTTTGACTTTCAGATATTAGGTCTTTAGAATGTGTGTGGGTTTTTTAATGAGATGACATGTGCAATTTGAAAGTAAAAACAATGCATCATACGCAATTCTTATGTAATCTAGAAGTTTAGGACTGCAAGAGCTGAGTCCATTATCTCTAATGTGCAACATCTTGTAAGGGTTGCAGTAGCCCATTTTCTTATAATATAATAAGATTTATAAGTACAGTGTAACGTCTCATATCCGGACGTCCCTTTTCCGGTAGGGTCGATTTCCCGGACACTTTTTAACAATCAAAATAATCAAACATTTCTTCATCTTCCCCATTCCTTTTAAAAAAAAAAAACGAAGTCTTTTTTTCCCCTTCTCAACTTCTAGAGATCTATGCATTGAACCCATAAATCAACAGAAAAGAGAACAGAAGATTTACTAAGACAATGACGCTCCTCCTCTGGAATGCAGGAAAGGGGGGGGGGTTGTTTTCAAAAGAGCACAACTGAGTCCCCTCCCTCCCCCTTCTTTCTATGCAGCTGGCTAGTAAAAGAGGCATTTCCTGGAACCTTTTTGAATGTTAAAGTGGAGGGGGAATCCCCTTTAGTCACACAAGAAAAAATAAAGAGAACCCAATTAGCATGCCACGCCTTTATGCTTGATTGATAGCCAATGATGGGAGAGAAAATAAGAATTTGTCACTACCCCGCCCTCAACTTGAATGACAAGTAAGGAGGAAATGAATTTTTCTTCTCCACCTACCCACCTTATTGAATGACGGGAATTTCCCCTTCTTGCTTGAATCGTTCTAGTTCAAAATGGTGGAGAGAGCAATTAATATTTTCATAACTGGGAATTTTTTTCGTTTTCTATATTTATTTTTAGAATAGCAATAATTATTTTTTTTCTAATATTTTGTTTATGATTGATTAGATATCATTCTAATACTAAAACATTATTGCCCGAAAAATAATGTTTATTTATTTTCTGCTTCTTAGATTCAGATCATTTTAAGCTTTGTTTACCTTGGAGGTCAATTATACGGAAAAATCAAATATACGAACTTCGGGAAGTCCCGCCGATTCCGGATACGCGACTTTCCACTGTATTGATAAATTTTTAACATGGAAAATATTTTCCAATAAAAAGAAAAATTCCACTTTCCATGTTGTTGTTTTTTTTTTTTAATTTTTAAAGTTTGCTTATTAAATTACAGGGTAGCGACTCCACAGGGAAACGTGTAAAGTACACAGAATTAAAAATCACCTAAAATACAGGGAATTTTGTTTCTTATTTTTGTCTTTTAAAAAAAGGCAACCACTCAAAGTGCAATCTATAAGATATTTAAGGACAATATTTCAGCTATACTAAACTATTTCATTTACTCTATGATTATTTGTTTCAGCTGTTCCTTTTATTCTTAAATTTTTTTTCAGCAATTCTAACAAGTATAGTTGGCCCAATACAGCTGATACAAGAGTACAGTGATTCTATTTTTCCTCTTATTATATTGTGTATAATATATACAGGGAATTTTTCCCCCTGATTTAAGTGGCAGTTCTGAATTAGTTTATTTTAAATGTGAACTTTTTATCCTGTTTGTGAGTTTTCTACTTTTTTAAATAATAATTTATTTCATGTTCCAGAAAATAAAAGCAAAGGAAAAAGCCCTCACTTTAGATGATGTGGAAATAAACAGCAGAAAAATAAGAGTCAAGCCTGTTGACAATAATCCTGGGGGGAAAACAGGACCTAAAAAAACAGTGATGGCTATCAGAAGTAATATGTATGTGATTTTTATTCATTTTTGGCATTATGTACATTTTTGTGGCAATGTGAGAATTTTCTTATTTCGTTGGTTGGTTTTAGGCATTGTCTATAATGTCAGACTTTCAACTTTTATTTATACAGTAGGGAATTTCGCTATTCCGGATAACTGATTTTTCCGGTTTTCTGAATCGCTACAAAAAGCCGTTTTTTTATTGTTAAACCCAACTAAAAGAAATAATATTTGGAAATAATCTTAAAAAGAAGAAAAAACGATGGAGCAATACACTAATGATTATTTCGAAAATGATGGTAAGTTAAACATCTTTCAAAAAAGAACGAAAAATCCTAAAATTTTATAAGGGAAATTTTTTTTTATAATGGTGGGAAAATTGATCGAATTTCGTTCCGGTTTTCTGATTTCCGGATAACGGGTTCTGTACTGTATATATATAGATAGATAGATATAGATATGATTGTAGATATATATATAAAAGAGAGGGGGAAAGCGATTTTTTTTATTTTAACAATAAAGTTTTCTTAAAATGTTAGATAATTTTTTTAAAATTATTATTTATTAAAATACTACCTCTAAGAAAAATATTTTCTAAAATTAAGGTGATTCTATAGTAGTTGAATATATGTGAAAGATAATTTAAATTAAATTCCTTTCTAAAAATTGTTGGTCTTTCTCTTATAGCATTATCTGGAAAAATAATTTGAAGTTGTACATTTTTGAAAATAAAATCAATTTATGTATGAGATTTGATATGAAGAAGGCAAAAACCTTTCTAAGCATTTAACTGTCTTTTTAAGAGCTGGTTCATTATTCCAAATCTATGTCTATTAAAATGCTATAACATGTGGTTTAAAAATTTTGTAATTCAAAATTTATCTGGAACAAGTTTATCTGAAAATGCAAAACAGCAATTTTTGGTTTAATTGCCACAAATTTATTCATTAATCGTTTCTCTGATTATCCTGAGTTAACTCTGGTATGTATATATTGCAACTGAGGTAGAAGAATTATCCTGAGTTAACTCAGGTATGTATATATTGCAACTGAGGTAGAAGAAGCAAACTAGAAAAAATGCTCAAGTCTGCATTCCACTCAATGGAAAGCTTTTAAAATCAGTATATGTATTTGCGTAGAAATTTCAAGATTACCAAACAAATGAAAAAAAATCAGTTGAAGGCAGAAAAAAGTTCATAATATCCACTTTCCTCTCGTCTTTTGGTTCACTATATCCACAAAAAGTAATATTATGTATAGCAAGGCGCAGGAGTGAACACTTCCTTACTATATCTGGGAGTTCACTATAATAGGGTTTGACTGTAGTATATTTTTTAATTAATAATGTTGTTCATCAGAGTGGCTCTCTTTTATGTCTTCTCTTCAATATTGTGGTAGTGAGAGCCATTCGAGATTCATATCTCTTGGAAACACAAACCAACTCTTTATTTATTCTAATGATCTGTGGCGTAACTACCACTATATAAATTAAATACCAATTCCCTAGTATATAAGACATATTAACTTGATTCTATCGTGAGGTACCTTTTGATAGATGAAGGTTGACATAGTCGATAATTAAATCCCCACATTGGTGACCTACGGACGTGATAAGAAATTGTCAGTATTGATGGATGAATCCACATTAAACAGTTGATATGCTTAAAAAAATATACTGCTCAAAAAAAAGAAAGAAATCCGGTGAAGTAAATAAAGTTTCCCGGTTAATAAATAATAATGAGCGAAATGCTAGAAAAAAAATAATAATAGCGAAAAGCTATAAAAAAAATGATGTGAAAGAATAGCGAAAAGCTATAAAAAAAATATAAAAAAAGTTACCGAGCGAAATGCTTGAAAGAAAGAAAAAATATATATATAGTGAGCAAAAATTGAAGTTAATAAATAAACAGCATTAATCAACTAGTGGTAATTGTTCATCGAATTCTATCATAGATAAAATTCTGGAAGGGGAGTAATGTGGCGTAACTACCACTATATAAATTAAATACCAATTCCCTAGTATATAAGACATATTAACTTGATTCTATCGTGAGGTACCTTTTGATAGATGAAGGTTGACATAGTCGATAATTAAATCCCTACAGATCCCTGTGACAAAATTTTTTCGGGCTTTCTGCGACATACCTTTTTAATACTAATATCTTTCTGCAAGATACTTTTAAAAATAACAAATGTTACTAATTCAACGGAACAGAAGACAGAACATTAACAGAAACATGAACTTAAAAAGAAAAAGCAAATACTTTTTAGATCAAGTAAAATATTTTTTTTTAAACATATATGTAATATTTTTTTTAAATTCTAATATTATGGGTGATATTCTCGCATTTTGCAGAGGGAAAACACACTGATTATTTCCTTTTTCGTATTTTGTAAATCATCACATTTTAAAAAAATCGTGATATCCATAGCAGGAACTAATTTTAAAAAACGTTGACGACGAAATCCCATGAATAGTATGAGGAAAAGGGTTACTAAGTGCGTGTTTTCAATTCGAGAATCGGTTGTTATTAATAATGTTGTATGCAAAAATATCGGATTTTATTTATGTGGATAGTATGAGGAAAAGGGTTACTAGGTGCGTGTTTTCAATTCGAGAATCGGTTGTTAATAATATTGTATGCAAAAATATCGGATTTTATTTATGTGGAAATCAATAGTAATGGCTGCATAAAAAATATTAGAACCAAAATTTTTGCCGAAAAGACAACCAAATTTTTTACTTTATTATTCTTTATTTTTTATTATTATTAAAGAAGAATAGAAAAATCGCAAGCATTTTTTTTCCACTNAAAATATTTTTCAAAAAATTTGGATATAGTGAACTATCGGTTATAGTGGACACATTACTGAGTCCGCAGACGGTTCACTATAGCGGGGTTCGACTGTAATTCTAAAGAAAGGATGAAACTTTCGAAAATTTCTGCAGGAAAAAATGTCCACAATTTGATACTTTCGAAAGGAAAAATCCTGCAAGAACTCGGTAACGTTCTGCGACAATGTTGCCACGATTCTGCCACGGGGCTGGTGTTACTAATATTGGAATGTACCAGCCCCGAGAGAATTATAGGTGGTTGATATCAAAATAGTGGTAAATGATATCAAAACTAGTTTTTGGTTATACCTATCATTTATAACAGTTTTGCATTTCATTGCCTATCATTTATAACAGTTTTGGTTATACCTATCATTTCATTCAATATTAATATAATGCTTTTTTAAATTACTGTTGTGTTTTTGTGGAGGAAATAATAACTTCGGAAAGTCATAAAAAATGCCTGGAATTATTAATGGCAAGTCATAGATTTTAAAAACCTAGCATTTAACAGATACCATGTATTTCGAAGTTTTTTGCATCACTTTTGAGGTAAAGGCCGCCTGCAAGTATTTACATAGTTAGACAGATATGCAGAATTAGTAAAATACAAAATAACTGTCAGTGCCATGGTTCACTTTTTTCAAGAAGTATTTTAAGATGTAAAATGTGTTTTTCTTAAAATTCCATGAGATCTTCAGGTTTGAAACTGTATGGAAAAAATTGTATTACAAATAATAAAAAACTTATTGAACTGTATTATAAATACTAATTTTACATTTAAAAAAAAAAATGCTGAAAACTTCCAAAAAATGGAAATTGTTGAGTATCCAACATTGCCTGATATACCAGTTTTTTAAAAAGGCTTGTTATTTTTAATATAATTAACTTATTGTTTTTACTTGTTATTTTTATTATAATAAACTTATTATTTTTATTATAATAAATATTTTTGAAACTGTTGTTAGGCAAAAAGTTGCCAAGTGTGCCATATTATTATAATCTACCATATTATTATAATCTGTTCTAATTTTACATTAAAATAAGTTATATAATTCCAATAGCTTTTTTCATAGCGTTTTAAAATATCTTAATATTTTTAATGCTTAAAAAGGTTGCTCTCTTATAAATACAAACATCTGCATATTAAATTATGCAACTTACTGTACATAAAAATATTTTGAATATTTTCTTTTAGGGCTATGAAACGAACTAAACAAGCTGGTAGTAAGAAATCTGTTAAGAAACTTCTAAAAAAAGGAAAACATGTTCACCAGAAGAAGAAAATAGCTCGTTTGTTTGGTGAAAAATTTGTAAAATGATTAACTACCTCGATTGAAATCAACATTTTGTACAATTAAACATTTTTTCAAATGATATATTTATTTTTTCACTAATTTTTATTTTAATGTTATCTCTCTTTCTCTTAGTTAATATAAAAATTAATAAAAGGGATTCTCCACCCCATACTTCTGGTTGATTTAATATAAAAATAACCCATATAAAGCAGAGTTTTAAAAATAAAAAAAAAGCTTTTTTTTAAAAAAAAAAAAAAACACACTTGGGTTTTTTTAAGATAGTACCTTCACATCTGCCAACTCTACAGCACTTTCACTCTGTTTTCTGCAGTTCTTAAGTTTTTACAGCAATTATACCTAGTATAGTTTGCCCTATACAGCCCATAAAAGAGTACAGTGATTGTGTTTTTCATCTTGATAATATGTTCAGGAAATTTATATTTTATTTTTCCAGATTAGAGTGCCAACCCTGACTGCTAAAGGGCATGATGGTTACCCCTTTTAAAAAAACACTTAGAGAGAACACTGCATAAAGTCTTTCAAATGCGCAATTGAAAATTAGTGGTTCATAATGCCATATTAAAATATCAAGTTTTTATAAATCACACAAAAATTAGTAGTAAAAACTGCCGAAAATAAATTGAGAAAACCAAGTAGATCAAACTTTTTCAAAAAGTTGTACTAAAATACGCTACCAGAAATTTTAATGTAATAAAATCAGCAATAATTCATATGCAAATTCAAAAATTGGGATTGGCAAGTATTTCCTGGAATAACACATTTTGGTTTAAATTTTTATTTCAAAAGAAAATGATTTTAATTTGAAAGAAAACTGTCATAGAAAAGTAGTAATTCAATAAGTAGTTAAAATAAAAATAACCTTTAATTTAATGCAAATATCATCTTTGCTTGCAGGTATAAATAAAAGGTTCCTAATTTATTTACTTTATGAACAGAGTTAAAAGCATATTATTGGATTCAAAGAAAAGTGCTGTCTTTGTTAGGTTGTTTTATAAAACAGAATGGCTCGGAAGGAATTCTTTCCTTCATCTTTTTAAGCTATAGTATTCATTTTCTTGTTCAAATAAAGTTGAACATTTTGCAGGCCACTTTCAACAGAAATTCTGCTTATTTAATGATATTCGTCATACAGGGCTGATTGTGCTCCTGGAAAATTCCGGATTTTTCGCTAACAGTGACCCGGAAATCGAAGGTCCTGACGTTTCCAAAAAAATCGTCGATCACAGAAGTTTCCGGAAATCAAATTTTCAAAGATGGAACTTGAAAACACAGTTCATTTTATTTGTTTGTAAGGAAGAGCCAGATACTTTATTAGCTTACATTCATGATTAATAATCATTTTTTATCAGTATATAGTTATTATAACCATAAACTGAAGAAAGACATATTTGTAAATTTTAATTACTTCTCCAGGTTATCATAGGTATGTGTAAAATTTTAAATATATTTTAAGTAAACTAAGAAATATTGAGAAAAAGGAAAAAAAAAATCTTGTTTTAATTTTTTTCAATTGAAATTTTTTTTTTTAACTCTGGATATTTTTCAGAATTTTGGCTTGGGCTCACTATCACCCCTATTCGATCTGCTCCGAAAATATAATGTACAATGCACAAAAAAAGGACCACCCTGAATAACTTTTGATCGGGGGTGACCTCAAATGTGCTAATTAATAAGTGCAGACGATATTTTAAATTAAAAAATCACACACAAAAACGTACTTTATCTGAATAAACATACCTTTTTTACGGCGTATTCGGGTTTCTGACCCCCAAATTATAGGAGGTAGCTGCAATCTGGGAAATTTGGTTCCAATAGTTTGGTTAGGAGAGAGGTCCAGAGTTTTATACCTTAATGTTAATTTTACTTTGTCTCGAAAAGGTTTTAAGAGAATTGAAAAAATTTTGCACATACTTATAAAATTCATTTGTTCAAAGGTAATTCCATGCAAAAATAACCCTAACTAAATATTTATTATTCAATTTAAAAATAGTACAAAAGTTTTTGAATTTTAAGGAAAATTGATCGAATACTATTTAACTGATTTTGTCATGTATATTCTTTAAAATGATGCAAAACATTGTATACCTTACAATTCAAAATTGTTTTGACCATTATTAAATAATAAACATTTAATTAAGATTATATTTTGCGTGGAATTATCTTTGGGCAGACTAATTCCAGGACAGTTTTTGATCATTATTAAATAAAATATTCACTAAAACTTTTTTTCATCTTTTGATAAACAAATTTTATAATTATAGGCAAACATTTATTAAGATTGAACATTTTCGAGATTGAACGAAATACGCAAAAAGTAAAATTAACATTAAAACTTAGGACCGTTCTCCTAAGCAAACTTTTGGGACTGTAATATCTCCAGATTGCGGTTATCCCCTAAATGTTGAGGGTCAGAAATCGGAATCCATCGAAAAAAACTCGGAGAAGATACGTTTTTGTGTTGGATTTCATATCTGAAAATCGTTTGCTCCAATTTAATTAGCATATTTGTGGTTACCCCCTCCGAGCCATTAAGATTGAGTCTTAGAACGTGAAAATCCGATTATTGGAGCAAAAGTTATTCATGTTGATTTTTTTTTTGCGCACTGTATGTATTCAAAACTAATTTCACTTCGAAAATTCCAGAATCTACATTAAATACCTCATAAATAACCTGCAATGATTCTATTTCCCAGCATCAAAATTACAATAGGCTGGGTTATATTTAAAGTTAGATACAAAATAACAATTGAATTTTTAAGAAAGGGCAGATTTTGAATGAAATTCATACCCCCTTCCGCAAAAAAATAAACAAGTTTTCCTGGATTTGTGCGTGTGTCATAAACTCTAGTACAGGGGTGGCGAACCTTTATACACCAACGTGCCATTTTTTTTTAAAAAAAACTGTTTAATGAGGTCATAGACGTGCCGTCAAATAATTTTGACTTCGTGATTACTGGGAAAATAATAATATTAAATACTATCAACTCAAAACTCTTTATTTACTACGAAAAAAAAACTTTTTGCAATGTCTCAGTTATACGTGTAATTTAACTTAAAGTAATATTAGTGTGACTTCTGTTGTTTCAGATTAAATGACTAATAACTTATATTAGGTTGTAAGATGCTAGTTTAAGCAGGACTGTCAATTTTTGTTTTTTTGCTAGTTATTTATTGTTGGCTTGTTTTTTATAGTTATTGTTTAGTTGGCATTAATTGTAAATGTTATTGTTTATTTTTTTAAAAATTTAGTTGTTAATATGCTTCATAGTGAACTTTGTGATCGGGGGGGAGGGCAGAATATTGGGTCACGTGCCATAAATGGCACGCGTGCAATTGGTTCGCCATCCCTGCTCTAGTACTTCAATCTACTTTCTGTGCCTTATTATAGCTGCCAACTCTACTGAATTTTGCCAGGGGATTCGCCTCATTGGAAGGGGATAGAGNTTGCTATGAACTGTCTGCAAGCTTGTCAAACTCTTCCTTGGCCTGCCAGATCACCAGATCTCTCTCCCATCGAGCATGTCTGGTATATGATGGGAAGGCGATTGCATCCATCTGGCACGGAATGTTGATGACCTCGAGAGACCATCCGGAGCTTTATCGGTCTATGCCACCCCGAGTGGCTGCTTGTATCCAGGCTAGAGGCGGGTCAACACCTTACTGAACTTGTTACTGTCCCTCTGCAATAAATTATTCAATTGTTCTGAAATTTTAATCATTTACTATTCTGTACATTGTCTTCCTATCCACCAATTTTCGTTTCAATCGGACAACTCCTTCTTGGTGCGTCGATTTTTTTTTTGTTATAGAGTGTACATTAAATACCTCATAAATAATCTGCAATGATTCTATTTCCCAGCATCAAAATTACAATAGTCTGGGTTGAGGCCGGGATAGCCTGGTCGGTAGGGCGCTGGGCCCATATCCAAGAGGTCGTGGGTTCGATCCTTGCCGGCCGAAGACTCCCCGTGTAGTAAATGGTGACTGATGCACGTTAAATCTGTAAAGTCCTCCATGTTCCCACAACAAATCAATACCTCTGGGGGTACTGATCCAGGAGTTTCCTTGTCTTCTGGATTGGTTCAAAATTACAAGGCTACGGAGTTGAACGTTAGTAGTCGTAAACCCATGAAATTGGGTCAGCTGTTCAACGACGGTTATAAAATAAAATTAAAATAGTCTGGGTTATATTTAAAGTGAAATACAAATTAACAGTTGAATTTTTAAGAAAGGGCAAATTTTGAATAAAATTCATACCCCCCCCCTTCCGCAAAAAAATAAACAAGTTTTCCTGGATTTGTGCGTGTGTCATAAACTCTAGTACTTCAATCCACTTTCTGTGCTTTATAGCTGCCAAATCTACTGAATTTTGCCAGGGGATTCGCCTCGTTGGAAGGGGATAGAGCGTTCGAATCCCAGTCGATACGAATTCCGCATCCGGCTTGCACCGACCACAGTGCTGACGTGAAGTATCCTCAGAGGTAGACGGATCATGAGTTAGGGTCCCCTTGCCGTCAGTCTAACAGTAGGAGGTTATCGTGGTCTTCCTCTCCATGTAACGCAGGGTTAGCTCCATCAAAAAAGCCCTCCACGAAGGCAAATTTTTCCCAATACTCGATCCAGGAGTTCCCTTGTCTTCTGGATTGGGTTCAAATTTACAAGGCTATGGTGTTGAACATTAGTAGTCGTAAACCCATAAAATTGGGTCGCTTGTTCAACGACGGTTATAAAATAAAATCAAAATCGTCAAGTTTAATAAAAATTCTCCTGTTTTCTGTACATTTATAAATATTCCCTAAATTTTAGTAAGTTTCCCAAAGAAATCCCAATTGAAATAGAATTTTTGCTCAGATTATTACTTGCTTAATTATTTAAATAAGTGTTTATTAATACATAATGAATCGAGTCTCATTTATAAAAATCAGCTAAAAAAATTTTTTGTTCTAAAATTTCGTGTTTATTTTTTTTATTCAAAACTCCCTTTTTGAATTAATTAAAAAAATCCTTTAACTTTGATGAATTAAACGCGTATTCAAAATTAAGAGTTGACATAATTCG